ATATTCTCCAAATCTCTGCCTATACAATTTTATGTTTTTTTTTTGTTGGTTTGAACACTTTATTCAGCAGTACATTCTGTCACATAAACAAAAACCACAACAATTTTACATACATATATGTACATATGTATATATTATACGATCAAAACGTGGTGGAGGTTTTTTTTTCAGAAATAGAAAGCAATTCTAATGCTGGCATTGAAATTAAAGTATTTGCATTGAAAATCCCACTGTAAGACTCCCCTGTTGTTATAAGCAGCCAATACCAATAAATAAACTTACTGTTCTCTGAGTGTATACATACATACCTTTATATATCATCCTTTATATGTATATGCTGTTCATAAACAATTGAATGTTTAATCTCATTTTCAAGGTATTTAGCTGATAAGTGAATTAAAACGCAGCTGCGCGTCATATTTGTAATTAGCACCAAATACACATATCTTGTAGGTAAATACACATATACATATATACACATAACTCATTAAAGCGGTGGCAAAAAAAAAGGCAGTGAAAAAATATGTTGGAGTGCGCATATCTTAAATGTCTGTCATTTGGCTAAATGTCAAACGGAAGCCGAAGAAATCACTGGGAGTGAGAGATAATATTTAAATGGATTTTTAATGGAAACGAACTGCAAAAGCAAAATCGCAGCAGCAGTAGCGACAACGGCAGCTAAAGCCACAGTTATAGCTACAGCAGCAGCAGCAGAGAGGGAGCAGAAATCTGTGACAAAAGATAAGTCCGAAAATATAAATGTTGCCTGGAATTTGCCAATCAAATGCCTCATCCATCTGTCGTTCCATGACTCTGTCGTGCCTGTCGCTCGATTTGTGACTCAAGCGGCTTTGGTTTAAATACTTTTTGCCCCCATTTTCCGGCAAATGGCATACGTAATTGAAATACTCGCCGCACTCGAATGCAACTAATAAGCGCAGTCAGCTGAAGTATTTTGCAACTTTTCACAAGTCAACTATTTCCACCCTATGGCTATTTACATACTCTATACATATATGCCAAATAGTCAAATAAAATAAGTAATATAAAAGCGAACGGATATAGTCGGCCTATCAGCTTTATCTTATCAAGCAGAGCTCGCGAGCAAACACTGCCCCATATTTTTATTGCTACCTTAGAAAACATACCATTCATTATTCATAGAAATTCTAAGAAAGTCAAAATTGGAATGTTCGCATGTTTATTGCCAAAGTTTCCGACACTCCTGAACAAACATGTTTGAAGTTCTAAGATAACAATTTATAAAAATAATAATAACAATAAATAATATCACAGGTGCAACAATGTAAATACATAAAAATTGGAAACATTATAGCATTAATTTTCATTAAATTAGAAACAAAATAAAGTGGCCTAAAAATTCAGATAATGTTGTCAAAAGCTTTTTTAAATACATTTCATTTCAATTAAAACAAGTTGAGAATATAATTTAAAAAAATGTTTAATACAAACTAAGAAAAATCATCTAGAATATTGCGTTATTACAATTGAACAATTTTAAAGATAAGAATTTTTTTATATATTGATTTATTTGATTTATTTATTTTGTTTTTTTTTTTTGATAACAAGGAACATTATTTAAACTCATATGACTAGCATATTTATTCTTATTTTTATTTATTGATTTTTTATTTATTTGATTTAGAATTAAGTATAAGTGAAGGCAAATAACGTTAAGATTAAGCTAAAGTTATCGTCTTAAAGATAACTTTAAAGATAATGTGAATAGAGATTTGTTGAGAGCATAGATTGTTAATCATAATTGTTTCAACATAAGAGCCAGAGAAATGAGTCGTAATTATTGATTAGTAATTTTCAATAGTCTATTTAACGCTTCAACGTAGATTTAAATTAAGGAATTTGTATAATCAAAAACGTTGAAAAAATAAATCTTGTTTCTTAGAATATATATATAATTATCTTTATAGTGTATTCTTAAATCGGATATGTACAGCTTCAAGGTTCTTACTTGTTCAACTTATTTTATAAGTTTCCTGCTCAAAAGTTGAACAAACTTTTTCTTTGCGTCAAAGCTTACTATTTACTTTTCTAGATTCAATTTTAATTGGCTAATAAGTAGATTGAAAAATTCTACAAAACTGTGGTTTTGTTGTTATTTTATTAATCGGGAAATGCGAACGATAAGCTTGTGGTTCATTTCTGAAAATTTGTTTGTGCCTGCGCCCTCTTACTCCACTTACAAATCTTGATTTTTGACAAAAGTCTTCAATTAAAAAAACTAGTCACAATTTCTTACCAACTCTCAACTTGTTGAACTGTAACCAAACACTAGTACTCACTAAGAATTCAATGAATGTCACTCAATGATTTGAAAACATTGCTTAATTGCTAAGTACACCACTTGAATGCAAGAATAAACACTTGAGAAAAGATCAAGTGAAGTACAAAGAAATCGCAGTAGTAGTTCAGATAACAAGAAATTAATGTTAGTACTATTTAGTATATGGCTACAGTTTTAAACAATAAAATAAACTCAAAATTTGAATGCAACAAATGAGGTGATGTTTTCATTTCGAATCACTTTCACCCAGTTATACTAGATATATATACACATGTACATTTTATGCCCCCCTTAAAAAATAGGCAATACAATTATAAACAAAAAACTTAATATTCCTGCATGATTTTGTTTCTCTACTTGGAAACTTATCTTCACCGGTGCTTCAAAAACATATAATGAAAAAATCCTCTTCAGCGTTTTGATTGTAGAAAATAGAATTCTTAGATCAGCTATACGTTAATTTTTACAGTCAGCACGGAAGCAATCCTAATTGCAGTGGAGCAATAAAAGAAACATTGACTCGCTTTTAAGACTCCTTAATGTCCAAATTGTAAGCTTAATCAAGAACATGCAGCAAAATAAAACCTTTAACAAAAAAGATGTTAAGAATCTTCTCAATAGAGCAAGCAAACTACATTGCTTTGACAAATATCTCGGACGAATAATTAAGGCAGCTGGCACTCTACTAAAAATATACCGAAAACAATATAAATATCAAAAAAATAAACCACTTTGTTTATTTGCCTAGTATTTCTAAATTAAATATTGCAACAATCAGATCAGATCAGGCCTCAGTGAACGTTCTTGCCCGCAATTTATTGAACTCGCAGTCGGACGCTATACCTATGCTGTGGCGGTAAATTTCAGATTAAAGATACTAGTCATAATCAGTGATAAGCCGTAAGGCTTTAATTTGAAGGATCATAACCTCGGTCAGGCCAGTCAAGATGGGCTTAAGCGAAATATATTCCTTTGATTTTAACCTGAAGCCCTTCGTTGCTCCACATTGCTACTTAGGATTAATTCTAAAATACAATTATATGAATATATAAATAAATGTAAAATTACAGAACTATTATTTATTTTACAAAGTTATATAGTAAGATAGGATACACCTGTGAATATTTAGCACGATTCAAAATATCATATGAGCAATGTCTTTTTTTACACAACCTTTTCCTGGAACCAATCTACCATGTAAAAGCAGAATTAGGTGTATTTTCATTATCTTTGAAGTCAACTCCAATCCCATTCGTATAAGATCCCCTCTACTTTTTAAAAGCAGCGTGAATAGGCAACTTTGGAAAAGTTGTGTCAAGTATGTTATTTCCATTTCACATTTGCTTCAAAAACATTGCTTAATTGTTTTTAGTGCAAAAACAGTTTTTTAGTAAAACATCTACTGAGTTCCTTTAATTCTTTAAAAGTCTTGCAGTTCAGAGAGAGTCATATTTAGTTACAACTAGGATTTTTCTGAATTCACCTTCAAATCTCAATATGTTTATAATAATAGAAAAGCTACAAGCTTATTAAAGCTTACTAACTGACAACAAATATTCGTACAATTTTGCAGAGAACGCCCAGAAACGAGAAAACAGTGAGCAGTATTTAAAATTTCGGTAGAATAGTAAACAAGAAAAACTATTACGGAATTAATATTTGTACAACTTGAAGGAGCAAACATACTCGAAGCTGCAACCTTTCAAGTCCTTACAAAGTCAAGCGCTCAATTATGTAACTTTAGACAATTTTTGTGCCACCGTTTGGTGCAGCACAAAATATTTTATTTACTTTTCTTGTTCCACCAGTCAGTCAGCTAGTCAGTCAGTCAGAAAGTCAGAGGGTCGGGGCAGACTGCCAAAGTTGGTGCCGTTGCCGAGGTCGTCAGCAGCATCAATATTGTAATTTGCCGGCCATTTTTTTATAGTCTCTCCCCCTTTCTTCTTTTTTCAATTTTTGTTGCAAAGGCAACGAAAGAAAACAAAGACCTCTGTGAGCGGGGGGTGGGTAAAGAAACAAATAATCGTGGAGTGGGGAATGGAGGAGGATTGAGAAAACTTTGCGCAAATAAATGCAAAATAATATAACGAAAAGTTCAACGAGGAGTCGTTGCACTTTAGAGGGATATGGAAAGGAGGGAGCGCCTAAAAGCACACACTTCATTTCTAAATAGAATTTTGCAATTTACCAAAGTTTTTGCGCCGTTCGCTCTTTGCCATTTACTTGGCCATTGATTTCAATTTTGCTTTTGCCCTTTGCTTTATTTTAATGTGCAATTTAGCAAAAATTTCACTTTGATTTGATTTTTGAGTGGCACAAAATGGCAACGCTAATGATGATATTGATGATGATGATGGCGGGAATGGTAATGCTGCTTAGGGTGGGGATGAGGATGAGGCTGGTCGACAAGCTTTTTACACAATAATTTCCAAGAGCTGTTTTTTTTTTCATGAATAAATTTTTTTATTCCTTATGCTTGAACAGAAAATTTCTTGACTTATGCGAAACAAAATACTAAAGGACGAAAAGTTGATTCGAGGCAGCTGGGCAGAGGAAACTAAAGCCAGATGATGGCAACAAAACTTTTCCCCATGCCCAGCCAACCTCTGTGTACTAAGCAGGATCAATTTGGTTCAATGCCTAAAGCCAGATCAGGAATGCAAAACTAGATGAACGCTTAATGGCGGTAACGGTAACGAATGCGACGCACGGTCTTGTAACGGTAACCATCCTTGGCCAGCTCAGCGCTCTCGACAGGCGCTGGCTCTTCGGCAGCGGGGGCGGCAGCCTCAGCTGGGGGCAAGTATTCGCCATTTGGTGCACTCTCAGCGGCGGCAGCGGCTTCATCGGTCTCACGACGATGACGACGGTACTTCAGGCGACGCACGGTCTTGTAACGGTAGCCATCATCACCCACAACGGTCTTCAGCTCAGGCGCCAACTCAACATCAACGGGTGGCAGATACTCGCTGCTGGGCTCGGCAATTTCCGACACATCACGACGATGGCGGGCACGGAACTTCAGCTTGCGGACGGTCTTGTAACGATAACCATCATCGGCCACACGGGTATCGCCAATGGCGGCGGCATCAACTGGTGGCAAGTACTCCTGGCTGGGTGCGTTGTCAACTGGTGGCAGATATTCCTGGTTGGGCACCTCACGGCGATGACGGAGCTTCAGCCGACGCACGGTCTTATAGCGATAGCCATCATCGGCCAATTTGGCGGCCTCAGCATCGCCAACAGGTGGCAGATATTCGCTGGAGGGCTCAGCGAAATCGCTCGATTGTGCGGCAGCAAAAGCCACCAGGCAGAGGGAGAGTGCGCAAATGAAGAGTTTCTGTGGTGGAAACAAAAGAAAACATGAATTTAGATCACATATATTTAAGACTATTTCAGCTGGCTGAATATCGTTTTAGTAGTCTTTAGAACAATGTATTTATTTCGTAAAATATGCACTTCAGATGGTTGCTTCTGCTCTTTATGAAAGCTGCTTTTAGACCATAACGTTTTTAGTACAATCTTATAACTGCATAGATTGGAGGAAGATTGGGGGCCACTTGTCCTCCCTAGAATATTATAGATTTTGTAGATGACATTCTGTCGTCTTATGATGTATTTCTTTCCTAATTTAGTACATTTCTTTGTACTAAATGATGTGTTTATCTTTAATCTTCATTTATGTTTTAGCACTTATATCTGTTTGAACTACAACTGATGTTAATATAAGAGAAATGAAGCTAAAATTACATTTCAGTACATTTTAGTACATTACTCATTTAGTACTAATACTTGAGTAGGATCAAATTCCCCTGCTTCTAAGTAGAAAAAAGTAGAACACTATACATTTAAAATGTTTAGTTCTTATGGTACTAAATTTAGTACAAATTCTAGGTTCTTACTATCAATATTTTACTAAACCTGAAGGAGGATTGATTTAGTACTACTCCTTTTTAATTGTAGCTTTCTGGTGCAACTAAATTTAGTACACATTTTAGTTACTATTATAAAATCGATTGACTGATTTCTTTGGTTCTGTAGAAGTTTCTGATTGCATTTAGAGTACACCGTTCTATAATTTGTCTTTTTAGCACTGTTCACTTTTTATTCTTTTTTTTGACCCACATTAATTTTAGCCCTTAGTGTGTGCTAAAATTTATGGTATCCTTTCAAGTGTCTCACACTTTAGTTTGAGTTCATCTTTTTGATAAGGATCCTATTGTTTTAAAATCCTTTTCAGCCATCACTTACCATTTTCTAGCTGTTCTTGAATCAAGAATAAAACGGCTTCGATTGGACTGCTGATGTTACTGTGTCGAAGGTATTGAACCCAATGATGCTTTGATCCAATTTGATTTGCGTATTTATAGCAAAAAAAAGACGACAGCTTGTATCTTTCCATATTGCGGCACAGCTGATTGCGTCTTAAATCGGAGCCCGGTTGGCGTTGGCAACAGCGTTGGTTGGCTAGTTGCCAAAAACCAAAAACAAAATTGAATAAATAAAAGAAAAACAAAAATCACCTCAAGTGCGCATCAAAGCCAACATGAACAAGCCGGCTCGGACTCAACTCAACTCGACCCGACGCGGCTCTATTAACCACTTATGCGTATTTAGAGCCACGTTGCTTTGGACCATTTCGATGATGGTAACCAAATTTGTCTTATACGCCACATTCGCCTTCCAATTTGTTGTGCATGCACTTGAAAATAATTATTTTTGGAGCAGGTTTTGGCTCTCGAAGTGCTCGTGTTAAATGTTATTCCATATATTGTTGTTACGGGCCATTTATTAAAAATTAGTTTGCTACCGTTTTACAATTGCTGAACATTACTAAATGAATGAATAAAGCAACTTAGTTCAGCTTTAGACGCATGTTTTAAATTCTGTTTCCAAAACTTGCGTTTATTATCATTTTTTTTTTGCCATTTCCACCTATTTTTGAATAATTTAAACACTTTTTTGTTGTTTAAGTGGCTAGAACCACTTATGCCACTCATTCGTTATGTTCTGCTCTCAAGTACCTGCCGAAACACTTCAAATGTTCTACGACCTTGAATATTGCTACAATTCTCAATTGATTTCTTATTTTCAGCAATTTGTTTCCTGCTTTATTATGCCACTTGAGGCTATTAAATATGTTTCAATGGATTATTGTTATGTAATTCATTTTAAATATTTCTCGCTAAGTTTTAAATGCGCATTTCTTGCGACTAAGAAATGCTCTCTTTATGGCTTTGCATACAGAGATGTTTTTTTTTTTTTTAATGTAATTTTATGATTATGGCAAAACAAACAATAGTACTTATTGCTTGTTATTTTTGGCAAACTTGAGGTTTATTTTTAAATCAATTAAATAATCGACATTGTTGCTTAAGAGTGTGTGCTCACGAAAAAAACGAAGATTTTTCCATAGCTGCCTACAAGTGCGAACACTGAAATATTGTGGAGCATTCACAAAAAAAAAACTGTTAATAAAGCAATCGGAAATATCTGGGGATATGCAGAGAATTCTATTGTTTAACATCTTACAGGTAAGTCATTTTAAAAAGCTAAGAATTTATTTTTAATATATATTTATATTTCATTTACCTACGATTTTAATTTTTTTTTAGATTTTTTGATTGGTTTTTCTTTTATTTTGATAGAAGAATAGAAGTTGCTAATAAGTCAATTAATATTTTTTCTTTTATGTTAGAGCGATTTACCTTTTACCTCTACATAATTTTATTTCATCTTTTCAAGTTTGGAATAAGCCATAGGTCGCTAGGGGCCAGATCTGTAGAGTAGGATGGATGTGGCAGCAAGTCGTGCAATATTTTGCTGAAGCATAACTTTTTCTTCTCGAAATGATAAAATTTTTCTGTGATTTCAGCAGTCAAACGGTCCGATAATGCCACAAATGGCGATCATCCATAGTTATTTTTCTACTTTAAAGTAATTCCCATCTCATGATAATTAGTTATCAAATGTTATTTCTTCAAATTACATTTATTCATAAGTTGATCGAATTTTAAGCTTAATCTTAATTACTATGCTATTACAACTTTATGTATCGCGTAATTTCACTTTTAATCGCCATTTTTGTAAATATTTATTATTAATAGTTATTTTTATGAATTTCTAAATTATACAATGATAGAATCAGGTATAAAGTAATTTCTAAAATATTTCAATAAAGGAAATATATTATTGTGCGACTAAGTCACGAGTATGTATGTATTTCAATCTATATCTATCTAAATCAAATTCGATCCTATAAAGATATCACGTCTAGAAACGGATTCATTGGATGGCTTCTCCAGCAAGAAAAATCTCAAGCATTTGAACTAGAAAGTTTAAATGTCAACTGTATGGAACAGGCAGAAGAATGCACTCCATGATGAGAAGAATCGATATATGGAGATGTCCGTCTATCTGACCATTCTTTTATCCGTATGAACATCCAGAATTTTGACACCAAACATGGTAAGGACACTTGTCTCATTCATCCTCACTCAGAGCAAGGTATTTATAAACCATATAAGCTTCATTATTTTATATAATTGCTATAGCAGGGATCAGGATCATATAAGTACTATGTATATCTAAAATATTCTTTTCTTTCTTTTTATACACTTCATAGAGCTTAATGTCTGGTTAAAGTTATACCCAATGGTAATATTTTAAAAATTAATATATCGCATTTAAAGTATAAAATTTTTAAGATTAACTAGATTTCAGATTTTGAGAACAGTCCGTGTAAGCACGGGAGGAACGGATATCAGTACAGGAAAGTAGGCTTCCAGTTATAAATGATGCAGACTCGAAAAAGTTAAGTAGCAATTGTGCATACTTAATAAAACGTAAAATATTCAATTCTGTACAACAGGACAGCCCCCCTCTTCCGGAATATTACAAATTTGCCAACACTTTGGTTTTTCAGCAATCATTAAAAGCGATCAACACTTCACAAATACAGACAACAAGCAAATACTAGCGATAAGAGCAAAAGCAACAACACGAATAACAGCAACAAACAAACAATATGAACTGCACAAATGACAGCAATAAAATGCAACTTCGAAAATTATATGCATTAAACAAAAGCCTTTAATTGGCCAACATTGGCAGTGGCCTACGGGCGTTGACGGTGATGGTGATGGTGATGGGAACGGCAGTATTTCCATCGCCGTCGCTCGTTTGGATGCTCGATTGGAGACTCGATTGGTTGTTTGATAAAGCAAATTGTTTGCGCAGCGCAAAAAGGATGCAGTCAGGGATACCTTACGTGTATATGGTCATACATTAAAATGAAATTAAATGAATGCGCAGGCAGGCAGGCCGGCTGGTCGGCCAGCAAGCGAGCTTCTTGTTGTTGTTGATACTGTCATTGTTGTAACAATGTTGCTGCTGTTGCATATTTTATATAAAATGCCCTGGTTTGTAGACAAGAGGGGTTGACATTGCAGTTTGTTTGCATTTTTTGACACACACACACCAACACAAAAATACAGACAGACCCATACACACACACACACACACACACTTATACCAGTAAAATGCCAATAGGCCGTAAAAATAACAACAGCAGCAACTACAGTAATAAATTGACATTAACCAACTGAAGAGGCATTCAAAAACATAAAAAATTGCCACCAATGCCTACTGGCATTCATATCCATAAACAGAACAGGTACAGGTACAGTAAAACAACCTTATATAGGCATTTATTGGCACAAGGTACAGATGCTACTGTCGCATGAAATATTCTGTACCCAAAAAAAACTTCCAGCGATGGGTAATATTCGCGCATAGCAGAAGCAAGAAGAAGAAAAAGAACAGCAGGTTTGCAACAAATAAATAAATAAATAAAAAATCAAGAATTATATATGTTTTTGGAAAAAAAATCGACGAGAAAAGTGGGAGGAAATCAAAAATAAATTTATTTATTTTAACTAAAGATTAGGAGCATCTACACGTACACATCATTTTGAACCAGTATAGAATCAGCCGTTCCTGAAATTCAGGTGTTCATTCAGTCAAATATATATACTTTATAGGGTCGAAGATACTTCCTACTGCCTGTTACATACTTTGCGCAAGCCCAATAAACACTCTACCAACTTCGCCTTCTTTCATCAAATTACCCCGCCTTTGCATGTTTAGTACTAAAAAGTATTTCAAAAACAATTTAAAACGAAAAAATACAAATATCATAATTGAACTAATTTCCGAGTCCGCTAACCTTTCCAAAGTACAGGGTGCTCCATCTTTTATGTCGGTATGTAGATATTGAATAACTTTGTCATTAGTGAACCGATTGACTTAAGTCGACCAGTGTTGAAAACCTCAGTTCAAAAAATTTTACAGAACCAAATTAAATAAAAATATCTCATACTTGAAAATATATATTTGATAACCACCTTGTATCATTTAAATTCGATTAATTTGTTCTTAATTAACATAAAGGAAAAACATTTAAATTTCATTAAAATAATTAAAACTAAGCGCAATTAATATTTAAAATATAAATTTTCAACAAAAATCAAATACATTTTGTAGTAAAACCCTCACAAGTATATAATAGTGTTATTTTGTAACCTACAGGGACATTTTCCAACCGATAGTGATCGATTGTAACGAACCAAGAACGATCGATAAGTGAGGCAAGTGACGCTAAAAAATATAAATACAAACGAAATAAAAAATTGCAAACGTGTGTCATCCCACATATTATATATTAAAGGGATATTGTATACAAGTACACATATTTAGAAGCACGTGTAGGAAAGCCAAGTTTTAAATTATTTATTTATCAAATCATATTTAAGGTATGTTAATTGGGCGAAGTTTTGAAACTTCAAACAGATACGGAAGTTTTGTGTTATGCCTCGCAGATTAGAAGAAAATGGGAAAGGTAATGTGTAAAGATAAGATAAGCATCTATCCGCTGATCTAACAAGCAACACACTCCAAAGACTGCGTCATATATATAGTTCATTAATGAAGAGGCAAATTTTGAAGAAATTGTAATACTTCTAATGCAACATTTTGTAGGAAATAGATGTTTTAAGTTAATTGAGATAGATTACCAAAATATTGTAGATTAGTTTTTACTTTAATTTGTGTCTAAAATTGCCGTGAATACGAGTACTGAGTAAATAGATTTTAAAGATTTGTAAAATACATTTTCATTTTCATCAACTCATGTTTTTATTCAATAGATTTTTTTAAAAACTCCACAAATCACTTAGTACGGTTATGTTAATTAATGGTTTCCATATACAAGTGCTTGTGGAGTCTGAAAATGTATGCAAATTCAGAAGTTCAACTGTGCATTAAGTACGCATGAAACAATTTACACACATACTCGTCTGTTTGTATGGGTATGTGTGGGACTGAGAGCAACTGTAAGATTCGTTGCAACCTCTGATGCTGTGCCAAGTCCTGGGCCATGTGTGTTTATCCTTATCTGCTTATGTGTGCTCTCAATTGTCTCTTTGTTTCTGCGCTAGCCACCCACTCGCCTGCTTTGCCTTTGACTGCTGCATGACAATATGTCATTATATTAAAAGCTTTGCAAATACGCCACGCAACCCCATAGTCGACCCATAGTCCTCCCACTACTGCTCCAACCTGATCTAACTTTAACTCCCACAGCAGCAGCAGCTGCTGCTCCTCCAGCCCCTGCCGCTGCCCCTGTCTGTCCTCTTACGGGCTCGCCAGCCTGCCTGCCAGCCTGCCAGCCTGTCTGCCTGCTTGCCTCGGCTACTAGGCTGAAATTTCATTAGCGTTTAGCTTTGTGGCTATGTTGTGTTTGGCCATAAAACTAAGACGCCATTGGGAATTTGCTTTAGCTGCTGAAATTTACTTTCCTGCACTTGTGTGTGTTCGTGTGCGTGTGTGTGTATGAGTGTGCGTGTGTGTGTATGAGTGTGTGTGTGTTGCCTTCAAGTGCATTCTCAAAGTAGGCAATTAATTTGTTAATTGGCGAGAATACTGCCAGACTCAATTGACGGCAGTTGACGGTTCTATTAACATTGTTAGCGCAACGGCCAACTGACAAATTGATATTTCATGCTAATCTCGTTAGCTGTTTCGCAGTCTAAGCGTTCAAACGAGTTAGTTGACGTACAGGATTTTGAAAAAACACACATACCCTTTGTAATTGATTCAATTTCGTTGTACTTGTATTTGTTATTATTGGGAGCGTAGAACGAAGGAGATAAACGTAAAACATATGTTTAGCAAAATATCAAGGCATTTTTGATTTGGCCCATAAAACAATAATTGATAAGAAGTTGACAGTTAGATGACGGGTTTTTTTCACGTCTAAACATGCAGCAATTTTCTTTGACAAATACGATCAAAAGGTAAGACATAGCTTTGTCAGAAACAGAAGGCAATTCTATTCCAACAAAGTCTGATGGAATTAATCCGTCTAAATACTTAGAATTTTAGAGATGGAAAAGCCTTTACAAATGCTTGCAATTAAAGCAAAAATCTAATCGCTATTGATATTTTTGCTATTGATATTTTTGCTATTATTGCTTTCGTACTAGCACAAATGTTTTAATAGAATCTAAAATAATGAGGGCAGCCATAGGATAAAATCATCCGATCCGGCTTGCAACAAAAAACATGGAGTCAACTGCACCTTTTATTAGTGTTGCAAGTCTGTTCTATATTTAACTAGTTGTCCTTGCCCAATTGATTCTGTGCAGGTGAGATTCTGTTTAAGCACAAAAGAATTTCTTTTTTTAAAATAGACTTTGTTATTGTAAATCTGCAATAAAACTACAGTTAACTGTCGGAGTCGTTAATTAGATTTGATTGTTTTTTGATTTCATTTCTCCTTCTTAGGCATTTCTAGCTTATAAGATGCTTTTTATAATATTATACATATATTTTCCTCCTATGTCGACAGTCAATGTTTGTTGGCATAAACAAATAAATAAGTAAATACCTTTTACAATAGGCCACACTTAAAGTATTAGGCCTGTCGCCGTTTACTTGCAGGACGTCCAGTAGAAAAGTCAACATCGTCAACATCAACATCGTCAGTGACTTGGGACTGTAGTAATACCTTTTCCTAACCTTGTACTTCAAATGGATTTGTAGAAGCACAAAGCTCTTTGTCTTCACTTGTTCTTTCAGTTCCATATTTACTAAAATTTCACAATTTCCATAGCTAGTTTCTAGTCTGCTTGTTGTTTGTCCTTCACTTATTTCATAAAATGCGTTTTCTTTGTTATTAATGGCTATGCTAGGCTATGCTGTTTCCGATTTGATTTCGTACAGTTGATAACTGTTTGTTCATTGCACATTTTGAAACCACATGATTCTGTTATTCATTGTTGTAATTATCACTGCATTTGTCGATTTATTTATGTTCCAAATATTTTCTACTGCTCTTTGTTAAATATGTTCATTGTTTATACTACGCATGTTGCATTTATGGATATTGTTATTGCCGTTTGATCTTTTTGTGATGACCATCAACTGGGACGTTGTTGTGTTTTTGATTTTGTGAAATTTCAAACCATGTATAGCTATTACTGCTGGGCAGGTAAATTGTACGGCAACAACAACAACAACAACAACTTGCAACAGTGCGTATGGTGATGGATTTGGTTTGCAGGCGAAATAACATATTCAACGAGGCTGAAGAGCCCCCACCATGAAAAGTGCCCAATTTCGCATTTTGTTGTTATTTATTTAGTTGCCGCTTTTGATGTGTGCCTAAATGAATAAATAAATATATAAATTGTTTTTCTAGCGGACATGTGTAAAATGCAATTAGTGCCCGCGTCTCCCATTCACAGGATATTATGAATCGTGCACTGTGGGTGGAGCGGGAGGCAATGCTCCTATTTTAGAATACATACACTATATTTATTTTGAATGCTTTATCACGTTATTGAAATAACAAAACAAGAGCACCTTTTGGCAATTTTATTTTTATTGTTTCAGTTGGGCAGCCACTTTAAAGTTTTGCTTATTTATTTTAATGAAAACGAAAATACTGGTATTTTTGTTGCTCATTTATTGTTTTTTGTTTTGTTTTTTAATGATTTTGTTCAATGTTTACTAAAGCGAATGTAAAGGTAATTGCCAGTATGCTAAATATTTAAAAATATTTCCTTCACCATAAAACTTTTCGGATTTGATTCGAATGAGTTAAATT